ACTAAAGCCATCACCAGTCTTTCCTTTACGCACTTCCTGGAGCCAATCATCCAACGCAGGCACTCCCCTAAGCTGCACAAACCTATCAAGGCAATCATATTTATCAATAGCTCCAATGACATCTACAAGCATTATTATACCAGGCAAATCTATTTTTTTTCTCAATTCTATCATGTTGACATTCACTAACTTCTCAACCCCTTTAGTGCTTACAATCTCCCTTTATCTGTTATTTTGACAAATTCTCCCTTTATGATTTCAAACATAAAGGTATCAGAATTGCCATCATCAGGCTTCGCAGAATTCTCTCACTGGATAGGTTCAGTACCAAGATCTTATTTGACAGTCTCTGTGTCGATCTTGTGGTGACCCCCTTTTTTACTAGGTCGGTCGGCTAGGGTTGAGGACAAACGGGATAACTCACTTAGAAACTAGCCCCTAGGGCTAGGGTCTTCAGCTCCTCATATGATTCTCATGTGACGTCTTCGAGTGGTAAATTATTCCAATGCACTAGTACTTCAGTAGTGGGACGTCGACGACGCATCATGATTCTGCGATCGAGGATGGTTTGTGGTGTTGGGCAGTTGGATCTGAGGTGACTCGTGTTCTCCCAACTTGGGCTTCAGGCATAACACATGGAAGACAAGGTGAATTTTGGCATCCTCAAGCAATTTAAGTTTGTACGCCACAACTCCAATACGCTCTGTGATTTGATAGGGCCCATAAAAACGTGGGGATAGCTTCACGGAGGCTCGTGTGTTGATGAAGAATTGCTTGTATGGTTGTAGGCGAAGATAAACCCAATCTCCTACTGAAAATTCTCTTCCGCTTCGTCGTATGTCGGCTTACTGCTTAATTCTGTCTTGAGCGGTAGAGAGATTATCCATTAGCAGCTGTATAAGTTTGTCCCTATCAATTAAATCTTGGTCGACCGTCGACCTGATCTATCTTGGCCGAGCCAATTACATACTTTGGAATCACAGGGGCCGACCGACCATACAGTGCTTCATATGGGGCACATTTTATAGATGAATGATATGTAGTATTATACCACCATTCGACCCAGGGAAGCCAATTTCGCCCACTCCTTTGGTCGGTCACTGGAGAAACACCGAAGGTACGTCTCTAAACACCTGTTTACCACCTCTATTTGACCGTCAGTTTGTGGATATGATATACTGTGCTCATCTTGAGTTTGGTACCCTGTAACTAAAATAACTCGATCCAAAATTTACCAGTGAAGATCCTATCACAATCACTTACAATGGACCTTGGCATCCCATGCAATTTAATAATATTTTCTATGAAAATCTGAACAATACTAGCAGCAGTGTAGGGATTTCGCATAGCACAAAAATGAGCATATTTCGTAAGTCGATCAACCACCACGAGGATTATGCTTTTACTTTTGGAAGGTGGCAGCCCTTCGATGAAGTCCATGGAGATGTCAGTCTACACCGAGTCCAGTATGGGTAGTGGTTGTCACTTCCCTAGACTCACCACTATATCACATTGTGCCACATGTTCAGAAATAATTTTTTTCATCCCTCTCCAATAAAAATTTTGCTTCACTCTTTTGTAGGTTCTCAGAAATCCGAAGTGCCCTACTGAAGGTGTGAAGTGAATTTTGAGCAGGATGATTTTGATGCAAGGGGAGTTGGGTATAAGCACAATGCGACCTTTGTAGCGTAAATCCCTCGAATCCCAAGTGTAGTGGGCTATTACGCTTGGATCCTCCTATTGCGCTTGGATCCTCCTCTAATTTTTTTATGATGTTGTTGATCTCTGGATCCTTCTTCCATTCCTCCCTAATGTCCTCGAGGAAGCCGATGGTAGGAAGGGAGATGGCCATTTTTGTTGCTTAGGGGATTCTATCATCTAGTATCAAACCAGCGATCTTGCTGCTTTTGCTGCCACCCCTGCCGCCCACCACCAACCAAGAAATTCCTACAATTGCTCTTGGCATCGCCATCTCCACAGTCATCTTCTGTCGTAGATCAAATCAATCTACTACCGTCACCTCCAATTGCATCAAGAGATCTGGTATTCTCCTATCACCAATACCTTTTGTTGTTGTAATTTTCCATTCAAAATACCAAGAAGAAGTCTTTTTATCTATCCCGTACTGCGAATTCCTTTCACCGTAAAAGTTATCATCTTTGCGAACGAAGGATTGCTGTAGAAAATTTCAACCGCATATTGTTGCCTTTAATCGATCAATTAGCTATCCTTTTTGAACGAAATTTCTTATATGCTTCATAGATCGTCTTGGCTTCCATCTGAGATTGATCTATTGAGGAATTCATCTCTAAAACGTTTTTGTGTTTTTGTAAATTTTCGTCGTAAACCACTGAAATTTTTCGACGAGAATTCTGCTATCGCAATTTGCACCGATTTCCTTACTGTTATATTACCGAAATCTTCTTAATCAAATTTGTCACCATTACTGTTATCTAAACCGAGATTTTGCTGTCAAATTCCCTCATCAAATCTCTCAGTTTTTGTTGGAAATTTCGTCGTGAAACCACTGTTTCTTCGACGACAATTCTGCTCTTACAAAACAGCCACAAAACAAGCCTAAACCAGAGCCAACATACACCAATCCACCAACCCTTTCGGCCACCACTTCTCTTAACTGATACATGCCTTTAACCCGACAACAAAAGAGAGATCTTAACATTACAGGTTTGGAGGCATATACTATGGCATCTAAAGAGGCAATCAATGCTAAATTCGAAGCCTTCGAGACGCGAATGAAGGATAAGATTCAGACTCTCTTTACCAAACTCAGTTTAGGCCGACCACCGAGCCCGAAGAAATCACATCAAGGAGAGAGCTCTAACCGAAGAGATGACTTCCAGGAGAGGGGAGGCTCTGTGACCGATCCCTATTATCCACGCATGAGGGTGGAGACCCGATTGGTTGGATCTCACACGCGGAGCGATATTTTCGGTACCACAAAACCGCAGACGCATCTATGGTGGAAATTACGACTATACATCTTGAAGGGGATGTCATACAATGGTTTGACTGGTTTGAACACACTTATGGAGTCCTCTCATGACGACAATTCAAAGGACTGCTGATCCGCTTAGGACCAACTGATTACGAGAACATTGACGGACAACTAGCAAAGATCCGACAAACCTCCACCATTTAAGAGTACCAAACCAAGTTTGAAAGGTTATCTAATCAAACTCATGATTGGTCTGAAAAATAACTATTGGGGACCTTTATTGAGGGCTTGAAGCCAGAGATCCGGGGAGAAGTTAAAGTGCGACAACCGTACACGCTTATGGCAGCCATCTCTTTCGCACGACTTTAAGAGGAGCGATTGAACCATGAAGCCAGGAGGACTACGGTTGCTCCCCGATCAGCAATACCGAAGCCTCAACCCCCCTACTGTCAGTCGAGCCTCTGCACCAAAAAAGTTGACAAGAGCTTCGGGAGCGATTTGCGAAGGGATTATGTTGGCTTTGCGACGAGCCGTGGAGTCGCGAGCATCGTTGTAAAAAAGGGAGACTTCTTGTGATTGAACCAGTAGAAGAAGAGGTCATTGAACATTCAGAAGAGAGCCTTGAATATGAAGAAGAAGATGCAAAATAAGAGCCACAACCGATCGACTTTATGGTACACGCGCTAGCCGGCTACTCAAACCCGCAAACAATAAAAGTTGGAGGCCTTCTCAAACAACTGATCATTGTTCTCATCGACACGGGCATCAGTAATAACTTCCTAAACAGTAAGGTTGCTGCTCGGATGGCGCTCCACATCGAAGGTTGCAGCAAGTTCGACGTAAAGGTCGCTGACGACAGAATCCTAAAGTGCGACCAAAGATGCCTGCAGGTGAAACTATTACTGCAAGACTAAGAAATTATCGCCGACTTCTTCCTCCTACCAATTGATGATTATGAGGCCATGCTTGGCATAAAATGGCTGACGACGCTAGGTGTTGTCTCTTGGAACTTTTCCAAATTAATTAGGAAATTCTACTACAAAGGCAAACAGATCATCGTACGCGGAAAGCGCGGAAGCAACGTAACCACCGTTTAGACCCAACGAATGAAGAAAGTTTTACACAAGGTAAATGGTGGCTTTTTTATGCATCTCCAACAGTAACCAGAGGGGAAGAAAATAGAAATTGAAGCGAACACTCGATCGTACCGTTATCCACACCTCCAGAAGGATGAAATTAAAAAGATTATAAAGGAGATGCTTGAAACAGGGGTGATTCGACCAAGTTGCAGCCCCTATTCCTCACCGGTGCTACTTGTACGCAAGAAGGATGAAACTTGGCAAATGTGCAACGACTACCGAGCTTTAAATGACATCATCGTCAAGGACAAGTACCCGATACCAGTGGTGGATAATTTCTTGATGAGTTAAAAGGAGCTCGAGTCTTCACGAAGTTAGACCTCCGATCCGATTACCAAAATAAATTCGGGTATGTGAAGATGACATTCCAAAAACTGCATTCCGCATACATAACGACCATTATGAATTCTTGGTAATGCCTTTTGGACTCACTAATCCTCCTTCAGCATTAGTAAAGGAGCATTAAGGTTTGTAAAAACAGAATTGTCGTCAAAGAAACAACGGTTTCACGACGAAATTTTCAGCAAAAACCGAGTGATTTGAGGAGGGAATTTGACAGCAAAATCTCGTTTTAGATAACAGCAATGATGACATTTGATTAAGAAGATTTTGACAGTATAACAACAAGGAAATCGGTGCAAGTTGCGATAGCAGAATTCTCGTCGAAAAATTCCAACGGTTTGCGACGAAAATTTGTAGCAACACAAGAATGTTTTAGACATGAATTCCTTAATAGATCAATCTCAGATGGAAGCCAAGACGATCTATGAAGTGTATAAGAAATTTCGTTCAAAAAAAATAGCAAATAGATCGATTAAAGGCAACAATATGCAGTTGAAATTTTCTACAGCAATCCTTCGTTCGCAAAGATGATAACTTTTATGGCGAAAGATATTCGCAGCACGGGATAGATAAAAAGACTTCTTCTTGGTATTTTGAATGAAAAATTATAGCAGCAAAAGGTATTGGTGATACGAGAATACCAGATCTCGATGCAATTGGAGATGACGACAGTAGATTGATTCAATCTACGGCAGAAGATGACGGTGGAGATGGCGACGTCAAGAGCAATTGTGGGAATTGCTTGGCTGGTGGTGAGCGGCAAGGGTGGTAGCAAAAGCAGCAAGATCGTTGCTCTTCTTTCCCTTAGACTGAAAAGATGAAGTATAACTATTTAGCGTACAGTCTGAACTAGATTTGAAGTGTTGTGTGCTTGTAGGGTTGTTCTGATATTTTGGTGAATGTCCATCGGGTTGGACTGCTGCATGCATCTCTAGTCGAGGTTTGTTAAAGTGCTACTTTACTGCTTCCTACTGTTCCTGAGAAAAGAAAAAGGTTGAAGGTTGATCAATGCACCGACATAAATGACAATACAAATGTGTGCCTATCCATTATCGAGTAAATAAAAAACAGGCCCATCCCTAGCAGGTTTGCACCAAGAAAACCAGTCTCTTCTTGCATCTTCCACACTATTCTCATAATGACTCCACAAGACCAAGATAAAAAAACACATAAAATAGATAATTTAAGTTGAAATAAGATTTTATATGTCATAATTTTAGGAAGAATAAATCATATCAAGAAGCAGACTATACAACATTTTGGTTTAATAAAATGGTATGGTTTGAAAATTCACACACCATAATTAACCAGTTTGGTTGTGATTCCCCTGTAAACAAAACCAAATAGGACTGTGCATAGTTCCCTCTAACCAGTGCTGAAACAGAAGTTCCTTATAGCATAGATCTGACAGATCAATATCTCAATACTCAGAACAGAAGTTTTTGGATGATCCTAGAATGGTGAAAATCCTTTGTTTACCTCAAATCTCTGAGATTAATTACTTTCTAATGGATCTCCAATTGAAAGGCAAATTAACATTCAAGCATGGCTTATACCAAGTTTCAAGAGCTAAAGTATGCTGTAGGATTACTCGCCAAACCATGCTGAGCAAAAGGAGCACAACTAATTCGCAAACAATTTCTATTTAAAATATAAAAAATCATAAGATAAGAACTTTATGAATAAAATAAGTTAATACCAAATGCTTTCTCTCATTGTTATTGTTCTATATTTCAAAAAAATATGATGGGCATAGAACACACATCGAAAGACAATACCTCCTTATGGAGGTATTTCTCTGTGAAAGTCCCATAAGTTCTTTGTTTTTCTATAAATGTATCATGGATTCTCTGTTCTTATTACAGTTTGTTGTAATGTGATTAGCTTCTCCTGTAATAAACTGATGTAGTCTATCTAATTTCAAATGCTACAATACCTCCTTGTTTCGAAGGTGGTAAAATCGGCTGGAATAACTCAGACAAATCTAGTTTGCTGTTCCTGTAGGCCTGGAGCCACAACTTTGACTTAAGTTATACAGGTTATAGCAGATGATAGCTGCTACAAATGTTATCAGAAAATAAAAGAGGAGAAGAGAGTTTTGGAGGAGTTGGATAAGAGAGATGGGTTGTGAAGGAAGAATAAAATAGGTTGGCAGAAATAAACATTTGTGTGATTATCTGTTGCTAAATACAGTCAGCCATGGAGACTAATTTTGATTAGGGCTCCTGACTAGGATATAAAATACCAACTTAGTAAAGCCCCAACTTATTCAGCTGATCTATCAGGCAAAAGTCTGAGTTTAAATCAATCTCAATTATATGACATGAACCAACTGTTCTTTATCTAACAAATAAAAAATAATAATCACCAAACTCTTCCAATTATCCATCTAAAATCTTAAGTCAAGGCCAGCCAAGGGGCTTTAAATTTGCAGCATAACCTCAAGAACAAAGTCAAAATCAAATTATCCAAGTCAATAATGCAGCATTTCCACATTAATAGATACAATTAAAACTTATAATATCTTCATACCATAGAATGAAAAATCCATAACATTTTAAATTATATTAATATACACTATAATTTGAGACCAATGTAAAGCCAACTCTTAGCGTGATGTTAACCAAGTCTTCCAATATCCAACCCTTCAAAATCTTCAAGAAAGAGGGTTGCCGGGAAACCTAGAGGTCCAGCCAAAAGACTCAATTCTCCAATACTGCTATGCAACTACAATGAGCATACCCAAATCTCCAGGGCCAGGAAAAAAAAAAAAAGACAGAAGCATTTTTTCCTTTCTTTATTTTATAACATCCAATCCTATTTTCCTATGAAAGTATTTTTGCTTTTGATTCATCTCTTGTTCAATCATACGAGTTTTTCTAATTGTGATTGGGTTCGGGTCGACTGAAATATCATTAGTTCACAACATTTTCGTTGCACATCATCAGAATTAGAAAATAACATCCAATCTTATTGTGCTCTGGCACAACAAGTTGTCAGAGTTTACAATATACCTTTGAGAGTTTGCCCTCAACTGGAAAGTAACCTCATTAACTTTGATAGTAAAAATGCACACAACCATACAAACCCCAGAAATCCTTCAAGCCAAGGCTGCTAAATCTATCTATTATTTATCGAGGATGTGATTCACTCTGACCCACCGCATGGCAAGAACTAAGGACATTGGTTGAAATTTCAACGGTGCACCAACACCAATTCCAAAATCGAGACCGCACATTTAAAATATCCATCACGATAAAAAAAAAAACAAAGAAATAAAATATCCAAGCAAATGAAAAAGCAAAAACGAAAAATCCAACCCAATGGAGAAAGAAAATATCCAACCACCACATCATAATATACTTAAACCGGTTCACCATACAGCATACAAATAACAGATACGCGAAACCCCAAAAAGGAAGCACCTCTAAGAATGAATTAGAGAGGGGTGGGGTCGGTGGGGGGCTCCGACGTCGCTGCCGGATACATCGACAGAAGAGTGAGGGGGGAGGTACTGCTATAACATCGGAAGCGGCGGCCGGCCGTTTCGTTTCCTCACCTTCCAGCTCATACGTAGCCTTGAATTATTTCCCCAGTTTGGCTGGTTTCGCATCCCTCCTTTAGTGCGAACCATCGATTCTCGATCCAATCAACGAACCTCAAACCGAAGCGCGGGGAAGCAGCCAAACCCTAGATCAAGGGGCGGAAGACCCACCCCAAAAGACAAACCCTAATTCCAGAACTGGAGTCTCGGCGGGGTGGGATCAGGATCGAACCTATCCTTCTTCGTGGGCCTCGCATCACCGCCAACCCCCACACCCCACACAACACAAAAAAAAATATACGTTGCTTTTGTCATCACAGTTAACTCACCCACTTGCTGAGATTACGTTTCAAACATTATTATCTTTTCTCGACCATTACATAATATACACATTTGATGCTTTTTTATGCTTACGATATGACTCAAATTCTTGACGTTTTAAACCATGCACAAAACCATTTTTAAGAGACCATTACAAACATTATTAATCATGATTAGTTTATCTATTCGTATTCTCATCTTAAGAAAAAGAAGTTTTAGATCTCTGTCATTTTGAAGTTTAGAATTAGCATTATTTACCCTTTCAAATTTTGATATAAAATATATATCCACAAAATATTTAGAATTACATATAAACATCGTCGGATATTTAAGATCAAAATATTAAAAACAATTAAAGCAGAAATGTAATCTAGCGAGAATATTAAAACAATTATAATGTGCTTCACGATGATTCATACCATTTCGTCCCTGTCAATTTTAACCCTGGAGCAACTCGCAGCCTATTACACAGAATCAACGAACATGTATGTTATCTGCTAAAAAGGATAGGAAAAAAAATTAATTGCAACTCATCTACTTGAGTATTAAAAATAAATATTTCTTTTATTAAAAAGTTTAAAACAAATTAACTATCTTGCATGCACATGAAACCGCAGACTGGAAGATAGATACCTGAGGCCGTGACATATGGATGAGCCGTTTAGCTACATACGGACAAATAATTCCTGGAAATAAAAGTATCAGTTTTACGGAATTAATTGTACAAGGAATCTGATTCACATACTGTGGAAATTTTGTTCCAGCACAAACACAATTTCACAGGATTAAATTAATTGTGAACAAATTGACAAGGATAAATTCTACATTAAGGATGATTCTTGCGTGAATTATAATCCTCAAGGTAATATAATTGGATACCCCATATCAAGGATCCCCTCTAGCATCGATGAAGATACGCTCAGGCCGAGAACAGCTACACCAAATGTACAACTCTAAAAATACTTTTCTTCTCTTTATTCCCCTGCCTAAAAGAATATCTATACTACATTGATTTTGCCTCAAGAATTATGGTATGAATAACCACAATCCACAAAAGCCAGCCATGCTGCAAACCCGTTTCCTACATGTCGTCGAATCAATCCCACACTCATCATCGGTTCTACATCTGTGATCAGCATGTAAATCGGGGATATGGCAAGCACTCTCAATTTGCAGTGAGATGCTTCCTCCTGTGGTTGTTGCAGGACAAACTTGTTGAGACAAAGCACTTAGCCGAATTGCTTGATTTTCATTCTGCAACGTCATGAATGAAGAAACATTTAATAAGCTGAATAGTAGAAAATATTTGCAACAAACAAAGTTGCCTTCTTTGTGGTTTTCCATCTTCATTTTGCTTTTCAATATTCTAGTCTGACATGCCATATCCAAACTTTCTTATAAGTGGAGTGTCGTATTTGGATGCTGTAATATGTCAGCATACAGAAATAATGTGTAGTCAACATTTATATTCAAAACAATTATTAATCACATATATGCTTCAAATAATATCCTAAGACAACATGCATACAATTATTACCTAAACTACCTGGAGAGTATCTAACATATTTATTTGATTAAGAGGGACTAACTAAGCCACTACATCTAATTTATTGATACTGAAATAATAAACCAATTATTTGGGGCTGAATATATGGATCTTTTCCCACCATTACTTTATTTGTGGCAATATTAATCCATTTATAGATAACTTAAAATATAAGAACTAAATAATATGTTTGATTCATTCTCTTATGATGCAATGTTTAGTCTAAACTTTCAGCTTGTTTGTAACGTGTATGTGCGCACACAATGCATGTACCTAAGAAGCTTGTGTGGAGACAATATCTAGCAAAGAGATCAATCACAAACAATACAATATAAAGATAATGAAAAAGAAATAAACAAATAGATCAGCAAAAAGGAAAGAAAGGAGGAAGAAAAGACCAGAAGCATGGAACACCTTTACTGAAGTCCAGTTAGCAGGAATGTAAGCCTCTGGAAGTTTCTCATGCCAGGAACCTCTGATTGGCAGAGGGTGACCCTCAGTAGTAAAGACATAGTTCTGACCAGCCAAGAATGAATCATCAAAGAGAAGATAAAGATATTTACACCTGGCCATGAAAAAGTAAAAAGATTCAAGATATTTAATAGTTTTTTAGACAGAAATTAAATCAATCTTCGTATGGCTCACGTTTCAGAAAGAAAGAAACTATGCTGATGATCTTCTAGTTCCATGGTTGTAACATCTCTAACACTTGCAAAACCACCATCCACTCTAGTATAGTAATTGAGAGAATTAATTATTGTCTCACCAACTTCCATATACCAAGGATCTGTTGCAGTAGAATTAATTTGTCAACAATCCCAACAGCACATAAATGATATATATATTTCAAATGTAAATTAACATTAGCATATCCTGGAAAACATAAGCAATTAGAATAGCAAAATATTCAAGGCACATATGTTTAACATAAACTTTACATGCATCACAATGATTAAGTACAACTAATATCCATAATCGGATTTTGTATAGAAAAATTTGCTATCAAAGTCACAGCTTATATGGATTTCTGGGGCTCCTACAGGACTGACAACATATAATTGGTAAATCAAAGATAGCTTCCAATAATTTAAGTATCAATTGTTCTTAGGTCCCTCATTACTGTTCATTTTATGGAGAAGAATTCAGCCATAGAGGTCCGCTTATGGATTTGCAGATGCCATGTCTTTAAGAGTGTCTAGAAGCCTACGACACATCCATACTCAGACAAATAAATCATAATGTCTGCTAAAAATAAGGCCTTACATAATCATAGAAAAAAAAACTACCAAAAATAAGTGATAAGTGAATAAGATCACAAATGTCTACAAAAATGGAATACCAATTAATATTGAGGATTTGTAACCTGGTTAAAGGGCCCTTGGGATATTATATATTTAAATACGCCAAGATTTTACCATATTTTCTGGTCTGAAAGAGCATTGCTTGCTAAGGGTGAGTAAGCAGAAAAAATTTATTGGAGATGGTGTATTATGTCATAATCACAAAGTGTCATAAAAAAAAGTTCCATGACAAGTGATGCAAATTCATTGATCTGCTCAGAGATTTGCTTTTTCAACTGCTTTAGATCTTTTCGTGTTTCTTTAATCAACAGAGAAGCTGGCCATATATATGCAATGAACATAGACCAAACACAAGCACCAAGGTCTATAAGCCACAAGAAGAACCAGATAGAGGAGGGTACAACACTTAATAGATGTTATGCAATCGTGACATTGAATTTAAATCAAAATATTGATATTATCAGTTGCTTGATAGTACTTTGTAGCATGGTATACAATTTCGAATGGTACCATCCGGTACGGGGGGTACGTACTGGTCCGACGACATACCGGTACGCGGACCGCCCGCTACCGGACGGAACGTGCTACAGTGCTACACTGTAACAGTGCTATAGTAGAGGAAGAAATATATAAAACCGCTCGATACGCTTTAGCGTACTGCTCGGTACGCCCTGGTATCACGGCCTTAGTTGGAATTGCCTAAGGCATGAGGCACCCTTCCGGCCAAGACGCGAACTTAGCTTGCGTTGCCTAAGTCGCGCTTCGCCCTTGCGATATTGCTCCGCAAAGATCAGCCCACTTGCAACCTCTCGCAGGTCCCGAAGGACCTGTAAAAGAGAAAGTTGATTAGTTTGAAAGAACGAGCGACGAACAAGTCCCGACGTCTCGCGAAAAGAGGGGAAGCTTTACAAGCAATTCAGCGAGCACCTTGCGTGCACAAGAGAAAAGAGGGAGAGGGGGAAAACAAGGGCTTTAGAAGGTTGAACGAACAGCTGCAAGCCCACAAACAGCTGCTCACCGAGTCCCGGACGCGACAACAAGTTCCCGTCAAGGCAACGTGCGAACTTGCGAAGGAGTGTTCAACGCCCGGTACTATACCGAAGCCCCATCCAGCCCTGTGCCACCCGGGGGGTTCCAAGGGGCTGAGATGGCTGACGTTTTGGTGAGCGGAGGCAGATTCCAGAAATCAGCCCGCTGTCACGGACAAACTTCTAAACAAGGTGTTTGATGTAATGCTTATATATGTCCGTGTCTTTTGGCATGTTCATGCCTTGTACAGCATGTAGAGGGGCGACCGAAGGCTTAATAGTCTCATTTTAGTTGGGCTGGTGGCCTCTTTAGGCTTGTAAATAAAGGTTGTGTCATGTGGACACGTGTGAGAGATTTTCGGTCTGTAATGGACCATTTTACCCTTTGTTGTGCCACTGTTCAGAGCTTGTAAAGTCTGTTTGTAATTTGCATTGTCTATGAAGTGTTTTTCAGAGATGTTTGCTTGTGGATCCCGATTGAGGCGTTCTCTCTAACCCGTTCTCTCTTTTGGTGGTCCTAAGGGACAATGGGAGGCTTCGGGGAGGCTGGCCTTTGCGGACGGACACGCAAGGGTGCCGCACGACTTAGGCAAAACCAGCTAAGTCCGTGACAGATGGTATCAGAGCAGGACAAGCACTCATAGAAACACTTAGCATGCAAACGTGGGGGACCTAGCGGGGCTGCGTTGAGGGCAGTCAGCACACACGCGACCGTTTGGGGGAAAACGGGCATGGAGATGTAGGGAAAAGGAGTCGCTCGGAGGAGCGGGCATCTGAGATTGGCATTCAGAGGAATGGCCAACCCTTCGCGCAAGAGGCACCACGAGAACAGACAAGCTTGGAAGAATGTGGAGCGCACAAAGGTTGGGATGGCTGAGTTTGAGCTACGGCTCAACATTGACAACTATACTTGATGGTGCTCAAGACAAGCGAGGCGCTTGGTAATGGATGAGACCATCCAAGGTGGAATGAGTTGCTCAATGACCAAAAGAGTTATGCAAAGCTCACAGAGGTGAGGGGAATTGCTAACTCGAAGAATTTGGTACTCATGCATGGGCTTGTATGCGAACGATGGAATGTTCGTGGCCATCCCAAGGCGACCGAAACTCGGCGCCATGGAGCATTGAAAGTTTCTCTTCGGCATGTGAAGGATACGTCCGTAGGAGGCTGAAGTGTGCAATGAGTTCAGCATGTTGCTAGGCCTTGAGAGGTGCAACGGGGGCTGTATTGACGGGGAGTCGCAATCTAGCAAGTGCGCTTGCAGGAGGCAGAACAATGCACAGTTTGTTCAGCAGATCGAAGTAGTCTAAGGGGATGGTGGTCTCCGAAACGAAGAGAGATGTTGCTCCAATGGGACAGTTATCCAGGAGGGATAAGTCCCGGCTCTCCAGAGAGAGAATCATGTGAGACGGACCTCACATGTTAAGGAGGAGTACCTCAACAAACAACAACTCCACGAAGCTCGATGGACTGAGCAAGCGGCGAGGAGTCGTCGCATGATCTCGCTTGAGAGAATGCATTGGTGGATGCATTGCGAGATCAAGTGGGGGAGCGACCCAAAGCAACTTAAATGAAGGCACACTTGGAGTCGATGTGGAGATCGGACTCAAGGGAGGGCTGACCCGTGGAATGGTGGGCGCGAGGGCCACCATCGACTCAATGCAAAAACGATGAGCGGAGCAACTCGGGTGTAACTTGGCGAAGTACCCAAACTGCATGAAGGGAGCCAACATAGAAGTTGGAACATGGAGCAGAGGCACAGTGCTTTTCTTAGACAGAGGTCAAGGACATGAACTCTTGCAGAGGCAAGAGTAGGATCATGTTGTTCCATGGGTCCTTCATTCTAACGGAGCGGACTCATCTTGCATGGTGCCAAAAACGAAGGGAGCTTCTGGGCACATGCACCTTATCTCGGAGGAGCATTTGATTGAGGAACTAAGGCGACTCAATTTGCGGAGGCGAAGTTGGGTTCAGAAGGCCTTAGCACGGGGCAAGAGGACACAGAGGCGGGTACTCTTGAAGAATATGCCACAGTATTGCCATTCAAGTTGCCATGAAGGAAGCAGTGCGCAGCGGAGATTGTGCTGGTAGGGGCAGAGGCCCAGGATCCAGACAATGGTGCACAAATTACGGTGAAGTCGGTGGACTTCGGGAGCTACTAGGCGACGGACTGTCCTAGAGCGGTGCTTCATCTAGGTGTGACCCAAGAGTGGGGGGATGAAGGTCGATTGCC